GGATTCATTTGATAAAAACGCGCTTTCGATCTATTAAAAATAATTATTTGTTATATGAAGCAATTATAGCATTTAAATTGTTTATAGACGGACCTCTAGTGAAGTTAATACCCTAGCAACTTTTCTCACAACAGGTTCATAGCTTGAAGTGTCAGCACCGCGGTCAAAGACAAAACTCAAGTTAAACATGAAATTATTCCTAGGGTAGCGGTTTCCCCATATTCCAACTGGATATCCCATGACTTGATAAGAATTCGTACAAATATTTACCAAATGGCCGCATAATGGTGGTGTTGGAACGATGTATTTGGAAATTGAATGAAAGTCAATTAGAGGCGTTGACGAAGCTGTAGGCTTATTGGAGCCTTCTGGTACTTCAGAAGCTATTTTAGGCTTAATGGGACCTTCTGGTACTTCAAAAACTACTTTAGGTCCTATTTCCGGATCGAACACCGAATAAAATACAGATACAAGGCGCGGTGGTATGCCAGCTTGGAATTCACTTTCCTGTTGAGCATAATCCATAATCTCGAACTCGTGGGTACTGTGCGTTGGACGCCCCTAGCTCTCCTGTCACCCCTGTAATTTTGACCAATCGAACTTCAGGATCAGGTATAACGCAAAAATCCACTTTTTTAATTTTAATTAGGAAGTCACCTTCTGCGTTCTAATTAAAAAAATGTTCCTCCTGATGTTTTACTAACATGCGCTATATTTTTCTAATCCTAACCCTAACTATAACACGGTTTTCTTGGGTTTCATTTTTACACGTAACTTTTTTACTTAGAAAACAAATCACGTTTGTTTTGACATATGATCTTAAATTTTGATTGGTCAAAATTACCGGGGAACACTACCTTAATCCTGTGTCGATTAGGGTGTGGGGCACGGTTAAAAAATTGGGCATGCCCCAAAGTAGGGATGGGCAATTATACGATACCGTATAATAAAAATGGTATAATAACCGTATAATTGGTATAGTATAATTAATAAAATAGGTATAATATTTTTAGAAATGATCGAGCGAAGCGAAGATCATTTCAAAATGGACGAACGAAGGAGGTAAGATAATAATCATGTGCTTAGTCTGTTCTTTATTGGTCACTGCCCAAGCTTATGTAGTTACATCATTCATGTGATTTTACACGTGATGTACTTACGTATATATACTACCCTCCTCTTTGAATGAAACTCTAGACTGTTTTTTTTTTTTTTTTGCATTAATTATTATACATATCTGTAATTTATTTATTATATTTGTGCAATACTTCTATGCTATGTATACTATTGTTTAATAAATCTAATTAATTTTTGAAACGTTAGGGATGTGACAAAAATCAGGTGATTTTTTAGAGGGGAGGGGTAAAAAAAAATTAAAATTATATATAAAAACCTGGTTTTTTTTTATATTAAGAAGGGGGAGGGGGGGGTAAGCTTTTGATAAAAAATAATCAGGTGATAAATAACACTACCCTTATTATAAATATCTAAGTAAGAGTGTTCTGATAAAATTCTTGTATGAAAGAGGGAGAGAAGATAGGTTTATATATCTTACCTTCTTTGTTCATCTATTTTGAAATGATTTTTGCTTTGCTCGATCATTTCTAAAAATGAATCTCACTTGGAGGTAAGATAATAATCATGTGTTTGTGTGAAGTTCGGCAGATTTTCTTTATACTTTTTTAGTTTTATTTATTATAGATATTGGTAAGTTATTTCGTTCAAGCATTAGTTTAATATCTTATTAGTAAAATTTCTGATAAACTTTGTTGCTTGACCAGTTTCTTAATGCTAAAATGGCTAACAATTCTGATTCTGCATTTTAGGCAAAAAAGGCTACTAGAATTTGTATATTCTTGGTTATGAAAAATAGGTCTGAAAATAGTAATATCTCTTTTATCTATCTAGAGATTGTGTTAACTGCTGCTAGTCTATCAGAAGTGAAGCTCAGAAAAATGTTATTTAAAGTTTCTTGTGAATCTCTGAATTTTGTAGTTTTGAAAATTAAAGTAGTTAGTGTTGACCAGGGGTATAACAAAGATTTTTTCTCATATTTGTCTACAAACACTATTTTTGAGCGTTTATGGCCTTCTTTTGACATGAATATTTTTGCCTTCTTAGATATGATACATTTCAAGCTTATGTCTTTACAAGATTGAGTCATTGAAGATAAGTCAAGTCTACTAAGATCTGAGGGCCATAATAGAACTCTGAACAATCTATAAACAAATAAGATTTTAGTTTGCTTATTTCAGACTATTTTTTGTTGATCTTTTCTATTTATAGTAATTAGTTTGTTTATTTCAGGCTTTTTTTTTGCAAATTTTTTTATTTTTAGTAATTTTTGCAAATTGTTAACTGTTTATAGATTGGTTAGTATCTTGTCATAATTTCATGATTATTGCTAATAGAAAGGTAGTTTTTTATTTAGCTTTAGAAGAGATAAATCTTTATTCTTTCTCTAAGCTATAATAGCATCAAAAGAAGGGGTAATATCTGAAACGTTATCCAAAAGCTCTGGTAGTAAGTTATTTTTTCATATAGCTCTCATTACCTTTCTGATAGTGGGATGTGAGCTGATGCAGGTATTGTCTTTTTGTTTGTGGATCTCGCTTATAGCAGATCTGTAGCCTGTGATAGTGTTATAGAATTTATCTAATATGTTTTAAATATTTAGAAATTCAGCTATTTTAGGTATTTTACAACTTTTTGGATTTATAACCTGTGAATTATATTAATTTACCTATGTCTTTAAGTTCGAAGATACTGTAGTGGATGCTGATTGATCCAATACCCTGTTGTTAAGTCAACTACTTCTTCTGATAGTTCTTGATTTTGTAATGATTCTCTAAAATAGATACTGCACAAATTTCCCATAATGTATTTCTTATTAAGTATATTTGGAAGCATTTGCCTAGTAAGATTGCCTACTTGGAGACTATTATAGGTCTAGATATCATTATCTTGGTTAGTAGGAAATACTATAGGACTGATGTTTATTAAGAGTAAATTAGTATTACTTTCACTCTACCCTGAATGGTCTTTGCAATTACTTTGTTCATCATTACCTATAGTGAGTTGATATAATCTGATATATTAGTCTACTTCATATGGAATGAATCTATTTGTTCTGAGTTCACTTCATTTGTCTAAAAAAAAAATCTTGGTAGTTTCGTGTTGTCTGTATTGGCAAAGAGATCTACTTGAGATGAGCCCAAAGCTATTAGATTTTTTAAAAGAATAAAGAATAAATCTCTCAATCATGTCTGTCTTTAAAGTATTTGAATACTCTGTTTGCGAGTATATTGTCTTTTTCTAGAATATGTACTACAGTAATTTTTTTAAAGTGTATTTCTAATTTGACTTGATGATTTTGCTAACTATTGGAAAGATAGTATCTCTTTAGTTGTTTAGATAGATAACTGTTGTTATATTGTTAGATATTATCTTCACGTGCTTCTTTGAAAGGCCTTTTATTTTTTTTAGTATCTGCAGTACTGCCAGGGCTTCTAGGGTATTTATGTGTAGTTGATGCTCTTGTAATGATTATCTTTCTAAAATGAGAGGATTGCTAAAGCAGGCAATTAAAAAAGTTACTTTTTTGATGCAGTTAGGGTAAATATTTTATTTAAATATCAAAAACACAATTATGTAGTATATAGATCCTTATATTGAATTTACCCTGCTTTAGCGGACCCCTAAAATGAGAAAGTTTTTCAAAACCACTTCCCAACTACTGTGGAAGGTGTCTGTGTAAATTGTCAGATCTGAGTGAAACTAAATTACTGATTCTCTATTCCATATTTGTAGATTGTAAATCTACTATATAAATTGTTTCTTGCTTTCTGTTGATAGAGTAAAGGTTGAGTTTCATCCCTGTATTTTGAGGGCTATGTTCTTGTCTCAAGTTAATGTTCTGGTTTTGAGTCATGCTAGGGAGATTGTATTTATTGTTGCTACTAATTTGCCAATTATCAAAGCCAATTTGCATATATATATTCTGTCTTTCTTAAGAAGCATGGTATGTGGGAGAATTATTATCATTTTGGATATGTTAATAGTAAAATCCAAGTAATCTACTTCTTTTAAGAGTTCTAATGAAGATTTTTTCTAGTTTATAGTAAATCCCAACGATTGCAAAAAATCGATTGTAATTCTTTGATGACTCAACACCTCCATTTTTGATTTTGTGATAATAATTAGGTTATCTAAGTAAGCCACTATATGTATGCCTTGTGATCTTAGTTCCTTTATAATAGGATATAAGACCTTTGTAAAGGTTTTGAGGCTAGCAAAGAGACCAAATAGTAGTGTAGTGAATATAATATGTTCTCTATTATAATTGAATACAAAGTACGTCTAATTCTCTTTTGTGATTAGAATATGAAAAAAAGTATTCTTGATATCTATCAAAACTATATAATGATCTAGGTAAAGTATAAATTTGATAGTCTCTATGTTTTCCATTTTGAAATGTTAATATAGTATGTGTTTGTTTAAGTTTCTCAAATCTATCACCAATTAGATCTTGCTATTCTTTTTGAGAACTGCAAATATTTTTGATAGATAACATAGAATTGATTCTAGTATTCTTTTTATAGTTCCTATTTCTAAATATTCTGTAATTTTCCTGCTTATATCTTCATTGTGAGTAAAATAAGATACTAGTTAAATTAGATGTTTTGGTTGATATGATCATTAGGAAGGATAACTATTGCAAATTACATTAGTAATCTATGATTCTCTAAATATCTTTTTTCAGGTATCTATATGATATTGTAAACCACATAAGTTCTGGTCTTTATTGTTAGTTTTGAGTTCGATTCTGTATTTGTCTTGCTTCTGAGAAATACTCATTTGTGGATCTGTTGTTTTTCTAAAAAAAGTGTATGAGAAGTCTTGCTTACGATGTCTGAATCAGAAAGTGTTGTTTCTTTTTTCACGAAGTGTGAACTTTGTGTTAGGTTTAGGTTTCTTCTAATACTGCAATATATTACTAATTAGTTTGTTTTTGGCATTCTTATTTTCAAGGATTTTTTTAAGATTTGTAAGGCCAAATATCTTCTCTTATTTAACAAAAGCTTGATGAGATAAAGAAATATATTTAATAGCCTGGTCTTATCAAATATTGTTCGTAAAAGAGAAACTATCAAGTAAGAGATTTCTAGTAAAAGCAACAAGAAATTTTTGATAATAATTTATTATTGTCTTTCACATTTTTTGATATGAACTTCCATAGGTCTTTGTTTATTATAGGTAGTTGAAATCATATGTTCTTGTTATAGGGATAAGATTGCAATATAACTTGTCTCTCATTAAAAAGAAGTGTATTGTCTTTAAAGATTTTTGTAAGAAGTTTAAACATCTCTTCAGATGGAAGCCAGGTGTAGCCCTGGTCTTCAAAATTATCATCATGTTTATTGTCACTAATTTCATTATATGAAAAATTAATAATATCTTGTTGTTCATTGCTAATCTCATTATTATCAATATCAGACATGAAGAGAGTATTAGCTCAAGTGTGGACAGCATCAAGAAAAAACAGTCTAGAGTTTTATTCAAAGAGGAGAATAGTTTATATATATATATATATAGTCAAATCATATATAATTACATGTAAATCACATGAATGATATAACTATATAAGCTTGGGCAGTGACCAATAAAGAACAGACTAAGCACATAATTATTATCTTATCTCCAAGTAAGGTTCATTTTAGTATAACAAAGTTAACCAATAGAAATCTTGATAAAATTTTTATAAAAATGAGTGAGCACGTAATGAATCTATATACACTTTCTAGGTATTATATATAAGGCTATTATATAGTAATTATACAGTAAAATAACTTGGTATTTATACCAAAATTTATTATACTGCATAATTTTCATCTCTATTCAAAGCTCTTAGCTGTCTTACAAAATTTTTTCTATCTCTGTAATTTTAACCAATTGAATTTTAAAATCAAGTGTAATATAAAAATTAAAACAGACTACTTTTTTACAAAAAAACAAGAATAGCTCTAAATTTTATTAAAAAACTATCTTCTGTAGCCTAATTAAAAATATTTTTCATAAAATTCTACTAATAGCTATTATATTTTTTTAACTATAACCCTAACTATAATATAGTTTTTTTAGATTTAATTTTATATGTATTATTTTATTTAAAAAACAAATTTGTTTTGACTATTACATTAAACTTAATTTTAAATTTTGATTAGTCAAAATTTCAAAGGTAAAAAAAATTTTGTAGAATAGCTATCTAAAATACATACCTCTAGATCAAGGCACAAATTACTTATTTGTGTAAGTAATACAAACTAAAAAAGAAATCAAATTTTGTAAATAAACCAAGTGTATAAAAATAGAAGTTTAGGATTAAGATGTTAGCTTTAGCAATAACATTAGCAAATTTAAAGATGCGAAATATTGTGAAAGAATTTGCATTACAAAAAACTTTTAAAAACAAACATAATAAATTTTGAAATATTTCGAAAAATAAAATTTTTAAAAAATTTCAGTAAAAATTTCAAAATATTTTTGAAAAATTTTGACCAAAATAATTTTGAAATATTGCAAAATTAGTTTATATTTGAATAATCTTTGTATATTGTATATAAATACATATAAAATTTTTTTTTATAAACTTAATTTATTATCATTATTAATTGTTTTTTTTAATCTTAAAGGATTGATATTAATTGTTTCAAATTAATGTGAATAGAATTTCTTTTTTTTAAAATTTTTATTTAAAGTGATATATATCACTATACTGATCTAATACAAGTATCATCGCAGGTTTCATTGTTTTATTTTTACTTCTATTTCGAAAGAAAATTTTTCTAAAATAAATTTTTTCTTTTTTCTCAGAGTTTTCTTGCCCTCTATGTTTAATTATTTTTTTTTATTAGTAAACCCTGTTTTTTTTTTTTATCTTATTTTGGAATTAGCTTCAGATCTGATAGATATCTTTACTATGTTTATTGTTTTGTTTTTTTTTGTTTGAGCTATCTTACTAACTTCCTTCTCTTTTTTTCAGTAATTTCACTTGTTTTCTTCACTCTTCAAGAATTAGTTTCAGGTCTGGTAGGTATTTTTACAGTACTTATTTTATAATCTTTTGTTATTTTTTTTTTCTATTTTATTTATGTACCATGTTACTAATACGCTTCTCTTTTTTCAGTAGTTTTGCTTGTTTTTTTCACTTTTTGGGAATTGGTTTCAGATCTGGTGGGTATTTTTACAGTTCAAATTGTCTTTTGTTATTTTTGTTTGTGAGCTATGTTATTAACACCCTTCTCTTTTTCACTAGTTTTGCTTGTCCTCTTCGTTCTTCTTCTGGAATTAGCTTCAGATCTGGTAGGAGTTTTTACAGTGCTTATTGTTTTGTTTTTTTTGTTTGTAAGCTATTTTACTAACTTCTTTCTCTTTTTTTTCAGTAGTTTCACTTGTTCTCTTCGCTTTTTGGAAATTGGTTTCGGATCTGGTACTAATTGTCTTTTGTTATTTTTGTTTGTAAGCTATGTTACTAACATTCTTTTCTTTTTCACTAGTTTTGCTTGTTCTTTTTGTTCTTCTTCTAGAATTGGCTTCAGATTTGATAGGTGTCTTTACAGTGCTTATTGTTTTGTTTTTTTTGTTTGTGAGCTATTTTACTAACTTCCTTCTCCTTTTTTTCAGTAGTTTCGCTTGTTTTTTTCGCTCTTCAGGAATTGGTTTCAGATCTGGTAGGTATCTTTATAGTACTAATTGTCTTTTGTTATTTTTTGTTTGTGAGCTATGTTATTCATACTATTCTCTTTTTGCTAGTTTCGCTTGCCTCTTCACTCTTCTTCTGGAATTGGCTTCAGATCTGGAAAGTATCTTTACTGTGCTTATTGTTTTGTTTGTTTGTTTGTGAATTATTTTACTAATATCTTTCTCTTTTTTTTCGGTATTTTTGCTTGTCTTTTCACTCTTCTGGAATTGGCTTCAAATCTGGTAGTATCTTTCTGTACTTATTGTTTTTTGTGCTTATTGGTTTTTTTTTTTGTGACTATATTACTAATGCTTTTCGCTTTTTTTTGGTAGTTTCGCTTGTCTATTCACTATTTTTCCAGAATTGGCTTCAGATTTGGTAGATATCTTTACTATACTTGTTTTTTATTTTTTTTGTTTGTAAGCTATGTTACTAATGCCCTTTCTTATTTTTAGTAATTTCACTTATTTTCTTTGCTATTCTTCTGAAATTGGCTTCAGATCTGGTGAGTATATTTACTATACTTGTTTTTTTTGTTTGTGAGCCATGTTACTAATGCTCTTCTCTTTTTTTCGGTAGTTTCGCTTGTCTTTTTGCTATTCTTTTAGAATTGGCTTTGGATCTGGTAGGTTTCTTTACAGTACTTATTGTTTTTTGTTTTTTTTTGTTTGCAAGCTATGCTACTAATACCATTCTCTTTTTCTCAGTAATTTTGCTTATCTCTTTGCTTTTCTTTCAGAATTGGCATCAGATTTAGTGATGCTTATTGTTTTTTGTTTTGTTTGTTGTTTTTTTTATTTGTGAACCACGTAATTAACACTTTTCTCTTTTTTTAGTGGTTTTGCTTGTTCTTTTGCTCTTTATTAGGAATTATTTCAGGTTTGGGTATATATTTTTACTATTTATTTTTTGCTTTTTTTTTGTTTGTGAACAACGTTACTAACTTTTTTTTTCGTTTGTTCTCTTTGCTTCTTAGCTTCAGGTCTTTGTGTATATTGTTTTTTATTTTTTATTTTTTTTGTAATTATGTACTAACACTTTTTTTACTAGTTCTCTGACTAATTTTGCATTTTTTGTTCATTTTTGTTCCAAATTCGTCATTGATATTATTAGTAGATTCGTTGCTTTTTTTTTTTTTTTTAAAAGCATGTATGTAATTATTCGTATTATAATAATATATAGTAATTATAATAAATATATAATTATTATATAATAAAAAAATATTTAGCAATTATGCAGTAATTTTTACAAATATAGATAATTTAATTTGATATTTTGAGAAAATTAAAAATAGTTTAAACCTATTTTGGAAATATTTCAAAATATTTTGAAATATTTTGAAATTAAATCTATCTTTATTTAATATAATAATCGGCTAAAAAATTTTGTTCGTTGTAATAAATATTTGTAATAGTATTTTATATAGTATTAGAGTAATAATAGTTTAAATTGTTTTAGAAAATTATTCTGTTTATTGAGGTATTTGCAAAAATTGAGTCTATTATAAAGCAGGTATAGTATACAGTATTTTGAAATATTTTGAAATATTTCAAATTTTTTTGTTATTATCTTTTGCAATTTTTTGCAATATATTTCGCAATATTTCAAAATTTTTTCAAAATTTTTTGAAATTATTTTTTTCGAAATATTTTGCATCGATCACAATTATTTCAAAATATTTCGGCACTACAAAATCTTTTGCAATTTTTTGTTTTTATTTTTTGCTAATGAAGTTAGGTTTTTTATATATAAAATTTATTTCTGTTATTTTTTATTAGTCAACCAAAGTTGATTTAAATACTAGTTTTTGAGTATTTTCTTTTTTTTCTTTTGCATATATTTAGATTCTATGTTAGGCTAATTTAGAATATCTAAAATTTGTGTTCTGATTGGCTATTTCTTTTTTAAAGGGTTGTATTACCTATACAAATAAGTAGATGCAGTCAAGATATACCTTCTATGTCTATGAGTATGCTTTTTAATAATCTTGTGAAGATCAACTACCAATAAACTAATCATTTATTGACTGATTATATAATACAACAGTAAAAATAAAGTATGTATATACTACATATATATAGATTATACCTAATACATAATAATAATATATATTATTGTTCAGGTTATCTTTTATTAGTAATAAAAAGCTTTGATATATTTAATGTTAATAGTTAATTTTTATATTAGATATTATTTCACAAAACTTTAACTTATATATATATACTATGAACTTACAAATACTGGAATAGTTTTATAACTTTAAATAATTTTATAGTAATATATATAACTTGTAATTTATAGGTTTTTATTAATACACTTTATAAAAAATTATATAGATAAGTTTTAAAGTTTTTTTTTAAATACAATTTATACTAAAAGGATTATTAGATTTGTAAAATATTTTTAACAGACCATTTCTTATATTTGATAGTTATTGAAGGATTATAAACTTCTTTAATTGAAGAAAATTTTCTTAATTCTTTTGGAATACCTCAAAGTCAAAAAAATTCTTTATAATAGAAATCTCTTCATCATCAATACTAACTGTTTTATTTTGTTTATTTACTTTATCTGGTTCTACATCTTGTTTTAGATCTTTATCTTGTTTATAATCCGTCTCTTTAAAAAAATATTGAAATAGTTTTTTGTTTATTGTTTTTTTTTTTTGATAATAGCCTGTTGAAATTTATTTTTGATTTGTCCAAGCTTAGAAAGAGTATTAGAAGAAAGATGATTTTTGATTTTAGTTTTAGTAAGAC